AGTTTGTACATGTCAGAAATAAATCAATAATGTTGTAGGAGTATTATTAATATAATACTTGTATCGGTAAAGGCTAAGTTTTATTATAAACTCCATGTATAGCTGTATCTGTATATGATAAATCTGGTGCAATAATTGTATTTTGGTGAACCTTGAGCAATAATGTCAACTTCTCAGTCCAAAGACAAAAGGGGGCTAGCTAGAAAAACCGATGAATAATTTCATAAATCATGTGCACCAATGACCTGGATCAGTGCAATATATTAAAAGAGACCAATAAACAATTTTATTCTTTTCTTAAGAAAAAAAAAACAATTTTATTCTTAACCTACTTGATTATAGCTTCTACCTGTTAACAGACAACAATGCTGAAGTGGTCAATTGAGCAAATTATAAAGAGAGAATTAGGAGACAAAGATAGTCTCAAGAATTCATGAAATGATTTAAACATGCTATATACGAACTAATGAGAAAATCAAACATTTCAAAATGTTTCATACTTCATAGTTTATTCTATGTTTAGACACATTAGGGTCTGTTCTCATACGTTGAAATTCAGTTCAGTTCAATTTAACTACTAATTTCCTTCTCTTATAAAATATTCAGTTCAACTCAGCTCAATTCAGTTCAGTCCAGTCAATGAGAACAGACCCTAAGAGTTATCTTAGTGACGAGTCTCCAAATATCGTCATAAAATCTCATTTATTACGGAGTACTTTGTACCATTGATTAAGCTTAAAAGAGTTCAACCAAACAAGTTCTGCACACAATTATAATATGTTCCCTACACTCCCTCTGTGTTTTTTTAAAGTATTACAATTTAACCGGCACATAGCTTTAGACAATTTAATTGACTTAAATAAAATAAGAGGTAAGTGGGGTAGTTGGAGTATTAAAAAATTATGAAAGAAAGAGAGTGGGGTTAATAGTTTTTTTGTTTTTTTTGGTGTTCTACCCGGTTCACTCTTTGGGCTAATCCGGATTCGGGGATCAGTTCTGGGTGGTTAGGTTCCAGTCCCCTCTCAATTGTTGTTGCGGGGGATCGAACACGGGTCCTCCCTACCAAGTGTAGTCCCAATCACCACTACACCAACAACCAATTGGTAGTGGGGTTAATAGTTTATTGAAAGTAATGAATGTGAGAGGAAAGATTTAATAAAAATAAGTATTAGTGGATTTGGGTGGAGACCACAGAAAAGAAATAATATTTTAATGTAATTTTTTTGCCAAAAAAATAAGTATAACATTTATTAAAACACGGACGGATTTGATAAGGGTAACACTTACTAAAACCATGGAGGGAGTATTATTTTTTAAGTGCCTCGGCTTGACTGGACACGTATATCAATGCACATAAATCACTAAAACAATGAGTAATTTAAAAAAAAAAAAAGTTGATATTTGAAAACTATACATTAAAACAATCCCAATAAGTACCTACATGAGAGACCTGTTATATATTTTTCTCATGTAAAAATCACTAGTTTTGGTCAAAATGGAATATGTGAATATTGCAAAAAGTAAAATTGAGGTGCTTAAAAAAAATGGAGGGATTATAATTGATGTATCTGGCGGAATACATGACAACAATGACTTTGTCCTGAGACTAGCATAATTCCTAATGGCCCATGTAATTGATATAAGGTCAAGATATGTGCGGACAGTTAATAAATGAAGAATAACATATGGTTCTCTTGATTCCGACAGATAAATCCCAACACATGACCAATCTACCAATATAAGTTGACGACGAAATAACCCAAAGTAAGGACGTGACTGACTAGACAACAACGGAGCAGCAGCATAATTTATTTATCTCCAGAAATTCAAGTGACTCTATCTTATGGTCTTAAGATGATCAAGAAAGCAGCATGTGGATGGTGGAGGAAGGACCATTCATATTCAAATTTCATAGACGGCGGTCAAAGGGAATCAACAGAGATGGTCAGAACATGGCATTGGAAGTTGCAATATAAAAAGATGTCAACCGAGGAATGATGAAGATAATCTCACCTCTGAATCACAAATATTTAATCCTCATACCAGGAAAATGAGTAGACCATAAGATTTGATTGGATTAGATTTAAACGAGTTATCATGGCCTTTTCTCATAATTTGATTGTGTCTTAACCTAATCTAGAGCTACCTTGTTTCCTCAAGTAATATTAAAACCACAGTTAAATACACTTTGTTGACTGTAATTCTAATAAGAAAATAAATAATTAATACCATCACCAGTAAAAACTTTACATATGGTAGTGTTGGTGACAGTTCAGAAAGTCAAATTTCATAGCTTAGAAAACATATTAATTTTCTAATAAAGCATCCTTAATACGCAAAATGGGTGGCAATCCCCTAGATATTAACAGAACAAAGGCATAAATTATCTAATCAATGAAGAACATAACACGTTTGAAAACAAGAAAGGACAAGCCCATCTACTTTGTATATTCTTAGAGGCAAAAACATGAATGTCAATTGTCAAACAATGAACATAATAAGATAATATAATCTACTATTTTTATGAAATGAAAGGAAATTTGCACCTTCTTCCTGGAGTAATTGTTCATGGGTTTCTTCTTGTATTCCTAGCAATGCAGAGAAACAAGGATACTTTGATCTAACACAACCTTTATTTTTTACATAATATATAGCCTGCAAAACCTGGCAATTTTTCTGATAGTATCATGAGACATAGTAGTAGCTGTAGTAGCAGCAGCAGCATAAGTAGTCAATAAATTGTGAGATGCAGAAAACAAGCAGACAAAAAATTCTGCAGAACACTGAGATAAACAAGTTAAAGTGAGGTTCTCAGTAGTCAGACAACTGTACATGCAAAGGTTATGCAATCAACTTGGTACACCTCCAAACTAATTGTAGCACTTCAGTCTCTGATTATTTGATTGTTAGAACCTTATCAAAAACACAATTAATCAAGGCATTCGGGTCTAGAATTCAAAAGTTCGAATTATACTCTTGGTGAGTCACAGCTTGAGATCCTTAAGCCATCACTAACCATAGTAACCAATATACAGTAATGTAATGAGATTAATTGGTTTCAATGGCCCAATGCCAAACCCACTATCCTAATTTGACATGCAGCACGGGACATGTTTTCAGATGAAAACTCAGGTGATGCAGACAAATAAATCAAGGATGTAGGATGTACATTAATTGACACAAACACGACAATTTCCTCCGTAAGACATGATCTTAAGAGAACAAAAGGTCTCATCAAAAGTCCTTATATTCCAGAAGATTAGAGTTTTCATAATTTATATTCGTAAGTAATATAATATGTACTTGTAACAAATGAATGTAGCATGACCCCAATGTACTATCATACATTCATACATACTGTCAGAGAAACCTGCCAACATTACAATAAAGGAAAAAAAAGGAGATAACAAGGCACCAGATGGAATTCCAAGATTGCAACCAGCTTAACATAAAATTAAACAAGTTGTCAAAGTGGACAGGAATGAAGGGTGAAGCATGAAGGCTTGATATAACGACGAGTTCAGGCAGTAAATTAGAAGGATTTAGCTAAGATAATTTTTTTTTAGCAGCCCAGGAGGAAGTAGCCAAATAAAAACTATATGAAATCTACTTCAGAAAGATTTTGAAACAACGTATAAACAACAAAGGGGAGGGGAGAGGTAATTCAACCAGTAGTCCTATACTGAAATGATGGAATTCTAACGCATTGATTGTACTTTTCACCCAGAAAACAAATCAAGAGACCTATTCCTCAATCCTGTGGTTCAAGAGGCCAAAGGATATAACCTAAGGAAACAAGGAGTGAAGGAGAGGATATGAGGAACCAACCAAGAAGGAAATTTCTATTTAAATGTATAAATTGGATTCAAAAACAGAAGAATATCATTTAATTACCTACCAACCAAGAGATCTTACAAGTGAGAATAGAGGTCCCACCTTAATAATGGGATGTAGTAAACTCCCATTTCTCTTGCAATCAAGTACTAGACCAAGGTAATGAATCAAGATACAATGAAGCAGCAATCGTGCAATAGTCCATTGATGTCCAATTTCCAATCATAGCTTCCCATGAAATGATTGGAAATAGTTGAACTATCAGATTTCCAACAACCACAGCATTGTATCCAGGAGATTAAATAAGAATAAATGGACAAAAAGGCAATGCCAAGGTGAATACGCCAAAATTCTATAACTGGGTTGTGATCAATGAGGTTGATAGCTTTCTAATTACTTATTGCTTGTCGATATTAGAGTTCCACAAAGCAAATAGACGCAACTGTGTGTGGAAAAGGAAACAAGCCCCTTCACTCTGGATTTCACAAGAAAACCAGAACCTTGAGTTTAATTATTGCTAGGCACACAGCTTAATGAAAAATTGGCAATCCTGTATGTCACTAATATGACCGACAAAAAATCTACAGTAAATTTTTCCTTGCAATAAGATTGGGCCTTATCATCTGTAAAATTTCACAAGCAATTCCTACAGCAATTTGACAGTTTTCCAAGAGTAATCAGATTCTCCTCAGGGACTCTTCCCTTTTCCACATCTTTTTCGTATTTGCTTGTGTTTGGAGGTTTTGGATGAAGAGTGACAAATAAGTTGGTGCCTATATTAGTTTAACTGTTTATATCATTACTTATCTCTAGGGCTCTTCATGTATTGTTAACCAGTACAAACACAATAGCTTATTTAACATTTCAGAATTAAAAGCAAGATTCCTCGTGTATATGGTTAATCATACGATCCCACTCTTGTCATAACATGAGCCCTCCCCCACACCCACCCACCCGCACAGCCCCACCCTCTTCCTAGAATCCCCCTTTGTTGGAAGTATAATATAAGCAAATCTAAGTCTATAGCATAGCCTCTGCAAGAAATGGTTAGCCATTGTTTTTTTATAGAAAAAATTCCAGAGTCATGAAGGAATGCTATGATCCAAGCAATCAAAGCCGTCAATAGCCAATATGACCAATAAAGTCACACTGCATCAAACATGATCTTTTATTCAACACCACAAATAAGTAAGCTTCTGCAATCACAACCATACCATAACTTACAGCCAGTCTGATTAAACTGTTAAAGTTATCCAACCCTGGTGCAAGTTAAAACTCAATAAATAATAAAGCACTAAACAGGACCCAGGGCTGCTCACTAATTATTTTAACAATTAATTATGTACAAAACACACAGAAAAGAGTGATCAAATCAGTACAATGGATGAGAAATGTTATCAAAACAAGAATAAAGTGATTTACAAAACAAAGAAGTTCAGATACAGAATGGTTTGATATACCTACACAATATGGACTGGCTTATCAAGATTACTATCAGCAACAGCCTTAAGATCTTTCAGTTCTTTCAGAATCTGATGTGAAAGATACAGCATTTGTTGGTTGGTCCCTAACAGTCAGACTAAGTACCTCCGGTCTTGAATAGTGACCAACTACATCAAAATCAAACTTCGCCAGTGCTATCTCTCCCAAATCTGAGTAACAATCAACAACCAAATGGTGTCAGCCCACCATCTACTTCAAATAAGTTAAACATAGATAATAACCTTACATATTTGCCAAATTTGATTTTAAAGTTTTTGTTAACAGGAAAGTAGTTAAAAAGAAACATGTCCAGACAAATGGAAATAAACGCCCATAGCTCACCATACCCCCCCCCCCCCCCCTTATTATCACAGCATGGTTGTCAATGTAATAAAACTTATCTTAGAATTTTAATACAATATCAGCATCCTCACTCATATAAGTGTCAATTATCCAGCATATCCCCATAAACCTTCTTTAATTTGTACCATCTCCGTATGTCCTAAGTGTTGCTAGAAATTGAGAGTTCAACTCCCCCCCCCCCCCCCCCCCCACCAACTAACAACATGTTCTCCAATCTTTATAATTAAATGTTAAATCACCAAATTGAATATTTTTTTTCAGTTAGCTAAAATCCTTAATATCAACAATTTTCAACAATTCTCTAACTCTCTTGCCACTACAAAGTGCTCACCCTTTCATATCGCTCCTTTTCCCCTAACTGAGTCATCCCCTATTTTGTCAATGTTTGCCGAATTCTCCTTGGACTACTACACCCTTCTTCTGTCACCTATTTATCTCCTTGAATCTTTGAGGTACTAGACTCCTTCCAAACCTCTCCACTCACTCACAACAATAATATGTGGCGGAGATGCATATGTTGCAATGGATGTGTGGCCATATGCAATACACTCACCCTCACCACCAATCACAATCACTTACAGCAGGAGACAGACAAAAGCAGCCACAGCAGGAGGGAACACAGCAGGGGACGGTGCACCACACTTCTCATCCACAAGCAGCAACGGGTCTTTAATGCAGAGCAGAACTTTGGCTTATTAGCTTTCATGTGAGCAATTTAGCAAAAGGACAAGAAAAGTAACTAGAGTAATTAAGGCTCTAGGCCAATGAGAAGAAGGGAAGGAGTAGTATAAATATTGTAAGCCTTAGATGGCATAACTATCCAGAAAATTGTATGAGGAAACTTGGAGAGTGATGGCCTAAAGCCATTGAACGTTGTACGCTTGCAATCAATTAATCAAATCATCCAACCTTTCGCTCCTTTATCTGACAAATTACTTAGTGTATTCCATTTGGTATCAGCCATGCCGCCAACTGCGTTGACAGTGACGCCGAGGAGAATGGCGGCGCTAGAAGAGAAGGTGGAGGAAATGTTTGAGAAGCTAGGTGACGGGGAGAGCTCCTTGCAACTTGAAGAAGCAGCAGGAGGACGCCGTTGATAAGGTGAGGCAAACGGTGGACGGCAGGATAGATCGATTCCGGCAAGATATCACTCAGCAGATTAGTATGACGACGAGCAGACAGGACAAGGTCCTGGACGAGATTCGAGGCGCCCTCAAGGCCCTAGTCAAACAACCAGCCCAAAACTTGGGTATGAACGATGAAGTGGAGCAGCCACCACCCCTGGGAGGTTTCAACGGCTCGCCGCACGTTAGCGGTGGTTTTAACGAGCCACCAACAGGCGCCGGAGGACTCAACGGTCCGAGATTTGGAAATTGGGAACCGGGAACAGGGTTCCAACCACCTCATAACCCACCCCACAACGGCTATTTCGACGACCCTTCCTACAACCACAGCCAAGGCAACCGCTGGAAATTCCGAAAGCTTGACTTACCCACGTTCGACGGGTCCGATCCGGATGGGTAGATCTTACGGGGAGAACAGTATTTCCAATTTTATAGATTGACGGAGGCAGAGAAGCTTCAAGCAGCAGTGGTGGCGATGGAGGGTGATGCTTTGCGGTGGCACCAATGGGAGTCTCGAAGGCGACCGGTGATTAACTGGGAAGATATGAAATTAAGGGTCCTCACGCAATTCCGGCCTGCTAACGCGGGGACCCTTCACGAGCAATGGTTGGCAGTAGCGCAAACCATCACGGTGGTGGACTATCGGCGAGTCTTCATCGAAAAGGCCGCACCTCTGCCGGACATTCCCGAAAGCCTGTTGAAAGCCCAGTTTATTAATGGCTTGAAGGATGAAGTCAAGGCCGAGATCCGTATGTTAAACCCGCTGGATTTGGAGGATGCCATGGATTTGGCGGTGCGGGTCGAAGAGCGAAATCGGGTCGCAGGACTTAAAAAAACGGGTGGGGTGTTTAACAGACCTGGACCCTACTCCTATTTTAACAAAAGCCCAGCCACTACCATCTTAGGGACTGGGCCGGCCCAGACTTCCTCTCATAACCAAACTTATAACCCCATAAACACTCAACCTTATAACCCAGCCAAAACCCAAACACAAATCAACCCAACACCCAGCTCATCTCAAAGTTCAATTGCATCAGTGAATCACCCAGCAACATCCAATTTTAACAGAGTGAACGCCCGCTCCGGCCGTTTTAATGGCGAAGTTCGAAGGTTGACCGAAAGAGAAATTCAAGATAAAAAGGTGAAAGGCTTGTGTTTCAGGTGTGACGGCCGATGGACGGGGCCCACTCACGTGTGCCCTGCGAAGCAACTCATGGTTAAGGAAGACGAGTATGAAAATCCAGGGGAGTTAGCAATTATGGAGAATGTGGGAGGTGAAGGAGAAGAGGAAGTGTCAACTTCCATATCCATGAATTCGATTGTTGGCCTAACCAACCCCAAAACCATGAGGCTTCACGGCATGATCAATGGGCAAACTGTGATCGTGATAATCGATCCCGACGCCACGCATAATTTCATAGCTCAACAAGCTGGGAATACACTCGGATTAACCACCGCAGGAGACACCCCTTTTGGTGTTTCATTGGGCAATGGAGAGAACATCAAGGGAAGGGGGCAATGCAAGGGAGTGCGCTTGAAGCTACAAGAAGGAGTGGAGTTGGAAGAGGACTTCCTACCCCTTCAATTAGGGAACTCGGATGTAATATTGGGTATTCAATGGTTAGAGAAGCTTGGGGCTGTGCTTACAAATTGGAAGCTCCAAGAGATGACATTCACACTCGACAACCGGTCGGTGACGATTCGGGGTGATCCGAGTTTGGCTCGAACGGGTATTACTTTAAAATCTATGATCAAGACTCTACGAAAGCGGAGGGTTACTTGTTGAGTTGAACCGAATAGAGGGCACGAAGGAAGAAGTAAGAGCAGAAGAAGTTCCTGACTTTTTGGCAAAGGTGATACATGAGTATAAAGGGGTATTTGAGACCCCTAAAGGGCTGCCACCTACTAGAAATCATGAGCATTCGATATTGCTTAAGGAGGGCACTAATCCCGTGAGCGTCCGACCATACCGATATCCTCAATTCCAAAAGGATGAAATCGAGAAACTCATTGGGGAGATGTTAGAAGCCGGGATTATTAAGCCTTCGACTAGTCCCTTTTCGGGCCCGATCCTTTTGGTGAAAAAGAAGGATGGATCTTGGCGTTTTTATGTAGATTACCGTGCTCTAAACAAAGAAACCGTGCCCGATAAATATCTCATCCCCGTGATTGATGAGCTCCTTGATGAGTTGAATGGGGCACAAGTGTTCTCTAAGCTTGATCTTAAAGCCGGGTATCACCAAATTTTAGTGAAGCCGGAGGATACACATAAGACGGCCTTCCGCACTCACGAGGGCCACTACGAGTTTCTTGTGATGTCGTTTGGCCTAACAAACGCTCCGGCCACCTTCCAATCGCTCATGAATGAGGTATTTTGCCCTCACTTGCGTAAATTCGTCCTTGTATTTTTTGATGATATATTGATTTATAGTGCTAACAAGGAAGAACGTATTATGCATTTGAGAATTGTTTTAGCCACACTTGAGAAACACACGCTAATAGCAAATATGAAAAAATGTGAATTTGGCAAAGAGATAGTGGCATATTAGGATAAAATTAGGTCCATATTAGCGTGACCCACTCCTAAATCTTTGAGAGATTTAAGAGGATTCCTTGGGCTCACTGGATACTACCGCAAATTTATTAAAAATTACGCCTAAATTGCTTTTCCCCTTACTAACCAGCTAAGGAAGGATAATTTTGGGTGGACTTCCATGGCCGACACCGCTTTTCAGCAACTCAAAGAAGCGATGACTTCAGCTCCGGTATTAATTATGCCAAGTTTCCAGAAAACCTTCATAGTCGAATCCGATGCCTCCGGTTTCGGTCTCGGGGCAGTCTTAATGCAAGAAGGGCGACCCGTGGCTTATTTTAGTACGGTGCTTGGTCCCGGAGGAAGGAATAAGTCGATTTACGAGAAGGAATTAATGGTTGTTTGCTTAGTAGTGCAAAAGTGGAAGAACTATTTGCTAGGGGGGAGGTTTGTAGTGAAGAGTGATCAACAAAGCCTCAAATATATCACACAGCAAAGGGAGATCGGCATGGAGTATCAAAAATGGTGCAGAAGTTGATTGGCTTTGATTTTGATCTTCAATATAAGCCGGGGATTGCTAATAGGGTGGCTGATGCACTTTTGAGGAGGGGGGAAGATGGGCAGAGAATTGGGAGCGTTGCTGTCCACGCAAGATGTGGATTGGAACACCTTGAAGCAAGATATTGCAGTGGATAAGGAGTTACAACAGCAGCTGAAGGAGGTCGTGGCTGGTTATACAATTGAACACCGGCAATTGTGTTACAAGGGGCGTGTGGTGATTCCTCGCCATTCAAGTGCCTGTTCAAGGCGTACCACGACTCTCCGGAGGGGGGTCATATTGAGGAAACCAAGACCTACTTGAGGCTAGGAGCGGAGTGGTTTTGGAGCGGCATGAGAAAAGATGTGGCGGAATATACACGGCAGTGTATGGTGTGTTAGAGAAACAAGATGTCGCAACAGTCCCTGGCCGGGTTATTACAACCTTTACCCGTGCCAGAGCAAATTTGGGAGGATGTGACGATGGACTTCATTGAAGGTCTTACTCGCTCCAAAGGAATTGACACTATTCTTGTGGTAGTAGATAGGCTGTCAAAATATGCTCACTTCATAGGCCTTAAACACCCCTTTACAGCCTATAGTGTTGCTGAAATTTTTGTAAGAGAAGTGGTGCGGTTACACGGAGTTCCAGGAAGCATTATCACCGACAGGGATCGAATCTTTGTAAGTATATTTTGGAAGGAATTGTTTCGTTTGCAAGGGACCGGGCTGAGGAGAAGCACCTCCTACCACCCACAAACGGACGGCCAGTCCTTGGTTGTCAACAAAAGACTCGAAACTTATTTGCGTTGTTTCGCAAGTGAGCAACCAAATCGTGGGCAAGGTGGCTGCCCTGGCAGAGTACTCGTACAACACCACCCCACATTCATCTACCCTTTGCACACCCTTCAAGGCGGTGTATGGCAGGGAACCACCACGCTTGATCAGGGTGGGAGTTGGACAAATCCCAGTGACAGTTGAGGAGGTGTTGCGGGAAATGGGTATAACGCTAGATGAGTTGAAGTCCAATTTGTTACGTGCTCAGCAAATTATGAAGAAGAATGCGGATCTTAAGAGAAGGGAAGTGGAATTTTCAGTGGGGGATTTTGTGTTCCTCGAACTTCAGCCTTATCGGTAAAAGTCTTTGGCAAAGCGTCCCTTTGAGAAACTGGCTGCTAGGTTCTATGGACCTTTTGAAGTTAGTCAACGCGTGGGTACAGTGGCATACAAATTGAAGCTGCCACATCAGTGCAAGCTCCATCCGGTTTTCCATGTTTCGCAACTCAAGCAAGTGGTTGGGGACAGCTACAACGCTCCCACGATCCCAGACCAGATAACTCCAGAGCTGGAGTTCGTGGTAGTACCTGAGGCTGTTCTGGAGACACGAGCAAAGGCATGGCAAGGGACACGGAAGTTGAGGTCCTTATTAAGTGGCACGGAGTACCTGAGTTTGAGTCTACTTGGGAAGTCCCTGCAGCTATCAATGCCGCCTTTCCGGACTTCCACCTTGCGGACAAGGTGGTTGTTTTAGAAGGGGGTATTGCAATACACTCACCCTCACCACCAATCACAATCACTTACAGCAGGAGACAAAGACAAAAGCAGCCACAGCAGGAGGGAACACAGCAGCAGGGGACGGTGCACCACACTTCTCATCCACAAGCAGCAACGGGTCTTTAGTGCAGAGCAGAACTTTGGCTTATTAGCTTTCATGTGAGCAATTTAGCAAAAGGACAAGAAAAGTAACTAGAGTAATTAAGGCTCTAGGCCAATGAGAAGAAGGGAAGGAGTAGTATAAATATTGTAAGCCTTAGATGGCATAACTATCCAGAAAATTGTATGAGGAAACCTTGGAGAGTGATGGCCTAAAGCCATTGAACGTTGTACGCTTGCAATCAATTAATCAAATCATCCAACCTTTCGCTCCTTTATCTGACAAATTACTTAGTGTATTCCACCATACAAGAAAAGATCAATTGTGGAATAAGATAATTAAGAAGAAACAGGGACTACATCTATTGAATACAAGATGCAGGAGAATCACCTAAGGTGGTTGGCCACGTAAAAAGGAGACCGAGTGAGGCTCCGGTAAGGCGGTAAGAACGCTTGAAGAGTGGCAAAGTGTTAGGATCGTGAGGGGTAAGGGAAGACCTAAGAAAACTTGAAAGAGGGTGATTGAAAGCAATATGAAACCTTTGGGGATTGAGGAAAATATGGAATTGGATAGAGAGAAGTGGAGTGAGATTATTCATGTTGAGGATGTTATATATATACTTGTGCTTATTTTATCTTAGTATTATTTACTCAACTCGTGTTCTGCAAACTATACTTATTTCTTTTGCTTAAGTCTTTTCAAACCTTTATTTTTTTTACTCTCAAGCTTCTCATTTCATTTATATCCCCTACCAATCTTTTAAGACTCTTAAATCATATTTGCATACACTTTCTGTTTCTCAATTTACACCGGACTTTTTAAAAACTTTATTCAATTATCTTGTTATGCTCTTAATGTTTTCCGGACGGTTCCTTATGACGTTTCATATTAGCTGAACCCAAACCATTTTGGGACTAAGGCTTTATTGCTCTTATTGTACTATATTATTAGAAAATTTTATATATGACATCATCTTTAGCTTGTGTGCTTAAAGCTAAGTAAGATGATTCTTTTCAAGAGGTATAGATAACCTTTGAGATAAAACTTAGAAGTTGTTAGCCTTCATTTGAATAAACAAAGTGGAATGGAATGGATTGGGAACCCCATACGTCACTAAATTTGTTTTGTTTGAAACTGGTATGGATATGCACTTAATTAGGATTTGTATCTAGGATAGAATAAAGCTAAAATCTTAGGGGGTAGGATGGATATGAGATTGTAGGAGATTGAAATGGAGTTAGATACCTCTGGTTTGGGATTCCATGGCAAACATTGGAATGGATTCTACTCAATTCCAATAAGATCTATGTCATGTAACCATGAGTAACTTTCCCTTTCTATTACTTATTTACCGCATCCATCAAAGAGGCTTCATGACATCCAGCATGACCATATCCTTGTTAATTAAGTTTATCTTGTTCCACCTTCAACCCCAAACCTTGACCCTTGCTTTAGCTTCTCAAAATCGCAACCAACAAATAGCAGGTTGTAGATTACCAACCAAAAAAGACAACATATAATGACAACGCTTTATGGCTCACAGATCTCCCTATATGGTCTTTAGCACCTTTTTCGTCACTTCAGTGGAAGAAATAACTAGCTAAGAGATAAGCCTCTACTAATCAGACACCACTCCTAGAAAGCGCCCAAATTTGTTTCTGTTACTCTTAAATACCACAAAATTAAAGAGCTAGTTGGTTAGAATATCTCATTGAGCTTCTAAGCCTTGGCAGAAGTAGGTGCCCTCCTGAGTGAAGAAAGCTTTCCAGTTCAAGCGAAAATTTCAAACAGAGAAGACTGCAAAAACTTGTAATAATTCTTCATCATTTCTTTCAAGAGCACATAATGCAATGGCTCTAAATTCATTTGTACAAACTAAATTGTTTGTATAGTGTATACATTCAAGAACATCTTAAGCTTTAATCTTTGATCGTTTTATGGCAACTTGGCAAGGTTATAACTTTAAAAGCAAAGTGTTGAAAAAAAAAAAATCTTTAACCTCTAAGCCATATCCAATAAACATACCTAGATCGGCCGAGATAAGCGCCTCACCATCATGATTTGGTCCAGCAAGGACAGCCCCTGATGGTGATATTATTACACTACCACCAGCACATACAACTGACTCAGGATTCAGATCATCTTCCATTCCAGAAAACACGTATTCAGGGGGTGGAGGATAATCTTTCCTTCGACAGAACTGGTTGGCTGACAAAACAAAACATCCACCTTCAAGAGCTATATGGGTCATGGATGCTTGCCAAACCTCCCTTGCATCAGCTGTTGGAGCACAAAAAATCTCAACACCTGAAGTTATGAAGCAGAACTAGTTAGGTTTTAGCAACAAGTTAAAAACTTTATCCCTCAGTCCCATATTCACTTCTTTTTGTGCGTGCGTATGTGCGTGAGTGTGTGTGTGGGGGGGGGGGGGGGGATGTCCCAAAAAAACCCCTCCCATTATTATTATGAAACTGAACTTTAACTCCCCACTCCATCACACCAGCATCTTACTTCTCTCACTTCCAACACTTTCTCACACTAATTTTTCTATAAATCAACAACCAATATTTCTAAACTACTTTAAGCATATTTCCTTAACCTTAGTGCCAATTAGAAAAGGGAAGCTAAAGATGGGACAAATTCAAACAAGCATGTTTCCTCCAGAGAAAACACACTGTCTGTTACTTGTTACAAAATTCTAAATCAACATATCCCAAAAATGGTTATATGGAGTCTGACCACATCAACAAGATTGATAGTAAACATGCAACACTTAGATATTGAACATCTTAATCCAAAATGCAATATAAGAATAGGGGTAAGATTCTTTGCAAAAACAGTGAACTCAGCAGTTTTCCTATTAGTTGTAGTCCTACATTCCAACAATATGCAAACAACCAAAGACATACAATTTAAAAAAAAAAAAAAAAAAAAACACATACATGACTACAAGAATGTGGGCTGTGTGGCTAACCTTTAGCATACATTGCCATCCGCAAAAGTGGCATTTTGTTCTCCCAACAAATAGCAGCACCAATTTTTCCAATGGGAGTTTCAAAAACTGGAATTGTTGATCCGTCCCCAAAACCCCAAATTACACGCTCAAGTGCTGTTGGCATCATTTTTCTATGTTTTCCCATGTAATGGCCTTGAGAATCAAAAAATAGAACACTACAGTACAGTGTGTATCCATCCCTCTCTATTACACCCATTACCAAATATACTTTGTATTTTCCAGCCATTGCAGCTAAACGATCAACTTCGGGATCTGCAATCATATATATTGGCACAAGATAACTGTTCAATTCCTAACGGATTATGCATATGATAGTAGAAATTTGAAGGCCAATATCTGAAAAAGATGAAATTACTTTTAAAATCAATTAATGGACAAATACAGTATGTTTATAAGGTTGTATTGCCAGCCCTTACTATTTCAATAGACTAAAGATGTAGCATCTTGGCATCCTTTATCACCAACGAATGGACACAAAGATGTCATGCAATTTCTAACAGCAAAAAAATAAAAAATGAATTTTGTAATAACTTCAGCTCAGTTGTCAAAATATATCACCCATGAGTTGAAATGCGAAACAATTGTGTCAAACTCACATCTTACATAAGGCCTTTGGAATTGGCTTGTGGCTGTGGTTCATAATATGCGTGGAAGATGTATGCAAGTTTAAATTATTCAAAAGGCTCAAGAGTATAGACAGCAGGTGGCAGACTCGAGCCACCTCCTTGAGGTAAATATGTGGTGCACTACATGAGATCTTAAAGAGTGCCTAATAAGTAATAAGCATGAGTTAGAGAATGAGAGGAAGGAACAAAGGGATATTGACCAAAAGTTAAACGCATCAATGTAGCAATTAAAAAAATTGACGGTGGTTAGATTAACACTAGAGCCAATTTAAAGATCGAATCCTTGATAAAGCAACCTATAATTGGGCATAAAGACTAATATGTCAAAAGGCTTACTTAATTTTCATGAATAAAGAAAGGCTGAACTATTACAAGCGTTGCACCAAAAATAATGATATTCAAAATTGTAAGTAACAGCAAATCAGCACTAGGGACATTTTACTTGAGCATTGGCATGCCCATGGATTAAGATGCACAAATCATCCAACAAAGGATCAACAAACAGGACTTGCAAGCTTAAAAAACAACAAAGTAAAACATATTCAAGATGGATGGGATAGATTAAAGCACATGGGCTTGTAGCCCCATTGATTTAATAAGCACACCTATACCACATTACCACCTTATACAATGTGCAAGGGTGAGAAGCAAGGTTGGCAAGAAAATACTCAATTTTCTTAAGAATCAACATGTAAAAGCTATTAAGGAAATTATTTTTTAAAAAAAAACAAATAAATCTAATACAGAATAAATCGAGGCGAATCAGGTTGCCCTTGATCATCCTTTTTCCTACACTTACTAGCATATTCTATGTCACTAGCAAGAAATTAGAGCAAAGCCACAATAGGCTAAGCTTGCATCAAAGATCTAATGCATAATATATTATTGACAGCTTTCAAGCTAGCAAATGTGTCAACATAAATACTTTAAATATTGTATTATATTTAAGGACATATTTTTAAAAAAAAAAAAAAAAAAGGATTCTTACCTGGGACATCAATAGCCGAGGCATGGTATTTTCGAAATTCTTCCCTGCCCTTTGCTGTCCTGTTACCAATTGTGACCCCAAAATTTGAACCACGTGGATAGCCACCAATAAAAGCTTCAGGAAATACAACCAGCTGGGCTCCATATGAGGCTGCCTCAGCCAGCAACCTTTCAGCCTTCTCTGAGATAGAACAGGAATTCAAATCAGCACAGGTTCTTGCTATCTTTATGTGTGTTTAAGAATTTATTAAAACTGCATTGAACAAATTACGAAAAGAGGATAGGTTGTCCTCATAAAGTAACCCAAAAAACTGCAACTACAATTTAGCTCAATTTCTTAAAAACCAAAATTAGTAATGAAAGAGCGAACATACAAAATGCCAAGGTTAGAACTATCCATTTAAAGAAGTACTTGCAAAACACAAGCTTTGAACAGGCTATAAATTTACGAGTTACTCTACCGACTTCCGAAGAGACATGTTCAATTTTTAAATCTGGCTCTTCAGCATGGGCCTACATAACTTCAACTGAATGCTTTTCAATTCGATACAATTAGTCTTTGGAAAGAATCCACCAAAACATTAACATGCGTCCATGTTCCTTGTAAGAAGAAAGTAACTATGATAAACGTCTACACATGGCGCACTAGGCAAAACACTGTATTTGAAAAACAAGGTAACATTCTCCATCTAAACACAAAAAGTGTTGTATTGCTTCTATTCTAAGAAGCTTATGAACAACTTTGTTACCCACCCTCTACTTTAGCTAAATTTATACATTCGTACTTGTCCATTAGTCTCAAATTAATGCCTTGAGTGGGTGCATTTTCAGGCTTCAAGCCATCCTATTTCATGATTCTACAGATTTCACAAATAAATTGGCACTACAAATATAATTATCGATAATCACGGTAAACAATATAATTCCATTGACATATTCATTGAGCAACAATATCAAAATTGCTTGTTCTGCTCTTAGTAACATTCATTTTCTTTATTATGCTTACCAATTGTGACAATCCAATCTGCCTAAATGAAAGCATGATGCCGCAAAATCGAACTAGAATGTTCGGATATATAAAAATATTGGACAAAATAACATCATAACTTCTAATAATTTCATATATTTATGATAATTAGTGATTCAATTTGATTGAAAATGAGATATTACCGAGGGTGGCAGGAGTGTCATAGAACACGGTAGAAGCTTGGACGACGGTGGCGCGAACAGTGGGAGCAGAAGAGTCAGCTCCCATTTCTACTTCTGCGAAGAACGGCCCGTTGTTACCACCGTCGGAGGTCGGTACTAATGACATCCTTCTCTCTCCTATCTTCAACCAAGTGTTTTTTGGCAACCATACCAAGTATCTGCTTTTGCAATTTCGATGGACTCCGTGGGAACAATATTAACACATTTCTCTTGGATTATTCTAGAATCGTTTTTTTTCAAAAAAAAAAAAACTCAGTAATGCATTACTTGTATTTCCGTGGATTTTATGGCTAGGACTACTCGGTTAGTCAGAGCTTAAGGGTTACTCGGTTAGAGATTGTGTGACCGGGATTATTTATTTGGTTAGTATTTTAATGTGTGCCAAATGTTACATAATGCTTTGATAAAATTAACTTAATTACATTACCTCAAAAAAAAAAAAAAAAAAAAAACTCAATCACATAAACTTCTGTGTTGGTCAAAATGCAATAAAAAAAAAGGAGGGACATAATCTTATTGCACAAATTTGTACACTACTGTAAATATTATGTATGTAGTACTTCATATTCATTAATACTGAATAATATTTCTATCATGTGTAGTTTTTTTTTTAGCAAGATTTTCTATCTATAGAAAATAACACTTTAAGGAATTATTATATGTGGTTAGCCACACTGTATGGCCCGTCATTATAGGGATTATTTCATCAGTGTAATGAGGGTTACTTCGTCAGTGTTATAGGAGTTACTCGATCAGTGTTACAGGGGTTACCGGTTGTTGGAGTTATGATGTTCTCTCTTAGTTTTAATGTTTTTCCTTTGCAATTAACTAAATACCTACTTTTTTAAAACCACTAAAATACCTACTTAACTTCACTTGAACATAAATTTATTTATTTACTCCCTCTGTTTTTAAATACTTGCTCCATTTCTATTTTTTGCACTATTCATTTGTATAACTTTGACTAATGTTTGTGATTTATACATAAGAAAAAATATAGTTTTGTGGGTACTTGTTGGAATCATCTCAATAAATATATTATTAATTTACAATTGTTAGAATTTATACTTATTGATATTTAAAGATATTAGTGATTAAAGATTAGCATCAGCATGCGTGTCCAAAAGAAATGAAGCAAATATTTAAAAACAAAGGGAATACATAAGTAGCTTATTTGAACTCTTAAAATACAAGTTATATTGTTAATGCAAAATGCAAATACTAAAAAACAAAGGGAGCAATAAAAATAAAACTAAGATGGGAAAGATATTGTGTATGGGCTCTCCAATCTCAATTATATTAAGTATTTCCGCTTTAATTGGATTGATATTTTTTTAGGGGTAAGGGGTGTGCCCCACCTTAATTTCATATATCAAGGGGGTATTGCCCACGGGGGAGGGGGAGATTGATATATACTCCCTCCGTTTTTAAATACTTGCTTCACTTTTTTTTTCGGCCGTTTTTAAATATTTGCTTCATTTTCTTATTTGGAAAACTTTTACAATATTTAACTAATTTCTCTCACCTAGTGACCCACCACATATTTTCTCTCCTTCAATCCTCCCCACTACTTTTGTTTTTTATAATTTTTTATTATTCTACTTACCCCACTACCTCTATATATTATTACTTTCTCTCATTTATCCGAAAACTCCGCACATGAAAAAATGGAGTAAGTATTTAAAAATGGAGTAAATAAGAGTGGTAAAAGAGTTTGAACAAATGTTAGATAAGGGCAAGGGAGATGGTTGTGGAGAAGCTGGCACGTAGATAGACCCATGGAGAGAAGAATTGAAAAAGGAAAGGAAAAAAAAAAAAGGCATGCATGCATTATCCAATTATGAAAGCAGCAAGTGTACTTTTAGACTGTGAGTTGAGACTCGCACACAATGCACTGATTGTGCTTTCGATCATCAAACTCAGAAAGTAGTCAGAAGTAAATGATCGATCAATGACCTCAATAGGGATCGGATTAGGTGATTTGAGCTGAATATATTTATTAATTAGTTATATACTGCGTATTACTCCCTCGTTTTTAAATACTTGCTCCACTTTTCTATTCCGACCGTTTTTAAATATTTGCTCTTTTCTTTTATGGAAAGTTTTTACAATAATTAATCTATTTCTCATACTTAGTGGACCCAACATAATACTCTCTCTCCTCTTATTCTTTCACTACTTTGCTTTTTATAATTTTTTATTTTCTCAACTATCCTACTAGCTCCATATATTATTACTTTCTCCAATTTCTTCTAAAACTCCGTGCATGGAGAAATGGAGCAAGTATTTAAAAACGACTCATTTAGGTTGATTTCGCAGGTATTAAGAAAGTTAAATAAAAAGAAGTAAAAGATAACTTTACATGGGGTTTGTAAAAAAGTAGAGAGAGAATATAATAAAAGTATATTGAGAAACAAAATTTTACATGGGGAAGCTAATTTTACACAAATATTATTGTAAATTGGTGGGATTTTAATGCAAATGAGTCATTTTTTTTTGAGACTAAAATTAGGTCAAATGGGTCGTTTTTTCGGAAACGTAGGAAGTATTTTTTTTTTTTTCCTTTTCAGACAAGGTGCACGGCGAACCCCCTCTCCTGAGGATGAGGTCGAACCCACATCACACGGGGAGTCCCTCCATCTCCTAGATCCTCATTTAATAGTATTTGTTTGAGAATCAATCAATCCATTCCTTTTTCCTTTTCTTAGCCCTGTCCTTTCCTTGGAGCTAAGCTTTGCTTTTAAAAAAAGAAATAGAAAAAAAAAAAAGAAATAAAAGAAAAGAAAAAAAGAATTGAAAAAAAAAAAAACATGCATATATAGCATAACAGGAAGCCAAGGTAAGGTATGTAAGGCGGTGATTTTGAAAGTTGAAACGGCAAGCTAGCTGCACAATATACAAGTATAGAATAATAAACAAATAATCCGCAAGAGATAATGATATACGGAGGAATGAATGGAGTTGTACAAGTTGAAATAGAAAGAAAGCTACTCCTAACTCCTTAACTTAATTGAATTGGTACATAAACATCTATCAGATATTCATCTTCAACAACCAACAACAGTATAAATTGTTTTTGAAATCCAAAGAAAGTATATATATATATATATATATTGTGATGGATGGTGTATCAGTATCTATATCAAAGGAGGCAGAGAGGTCCATCGCAGCTTCGTCAATGTTTCCGGGCTTCAGATTCAGTCCTATAGATGAAGAACTCATCTTGTATTATTTGACCAAGAAGTTGGATGGCTTTCACAAATGCGTTGAAGTCATCCCTGAAGTCGACATCTGCAAATTCGAGCCTTGGGACCTCCCTTGTATGTTTTCTTCTTCTTTTTTTCATTTTATTTTAATTATTATTTTATATACTTGTATTTGTGTATGTATGTATGTATGTATGTATGTATGTATGTATGTATGTTTCCAGCTTCTTTCATTTCCTGTCTTGTCCTCAAATGTGGGATTGAGCAGAGCAGAGGAGAGGGACAAGGCATGCCTTTCTATCTTTCATTTACAACTAACCAAGTAACGAATATCTATGATCTTCCCCTATATATTAAGTAATCAATTAATCAATATCTATCTTCCCATATTAATTACTCTTTTTGTGGGCGTTAATTGTATACATTAGAATTTAGAAGCCTACCTGTTACTACTTTCTACAAATACATTATTCCACGCCTCTAATTCCATTCTTATACTCGTGTACAGCTCAACACTAGATACTTAATTCCAAAGCAATCTTTAATTTATTGCTAGCTTTGAGTTTATTCTTTGTAAAACTAAAAACAAACGGAGGAAATATATATAATGTTGCTCAGCTTTTTGAATTGGCGACAATACTATGTTATATATATATAAAATGTTGCTCAGCTTTAGGTCCATTATTTGGCTGATTGTCAATCACTTGAATAAATAGCCGCATGTGTTTAATTGAAATTTATATTACATACTCTTGTACTTGTTTGGGAGACTTGATTGATCAGAGTGAGTATTGCTGTGTTGCATTACTTAACAGCCAAGGCTATTATCAAGTCTGATCAGGAGTGGTTTTTCTTCTCACCTCGTGGTAAAAAGTATCCAAATGGTTCACAAAGTAAGAGGGCAACCGAGATTGGCTACTGGAAAGCTACCGGGAAAGAGCGTGCTGTCAAATCTGGTTCCAATGTCATTGGTACTAAACGGACTTTGGTATTCCACATAGGCCGTGCACCTAAAGGAGAGAGAACTGAGTGGATAATGCACGAGTACTGTATGTCTGGAAAGGCTCAGGTAATTACCACTTGTATTATACAATTGTATGTATGTTGCAGTTAGATGAAATATTAGCTTTATTTCTTTCAAGTTCAACTATTAATATAGCAGAACTCCTACCGTACTGCAGTAGAAGATGTGCATTTTTATATGATGTATATATATACTTTGATCTGTGTATAGGATGCACTGGTTGTGTGCCGCCTTAGGAGGAAGTGTGACTATCATGCCATGAATAATGTTCCAGATGGAGAGATGAATCAATCCTCTAATCCATCTATGTTGATGGCTAGTAGAGGGACTTACTCAAATTGTGGTATGGGGCTCATTGATAATAATACACCTGGCAGGGACAAGCAGACAGTTGAATGTTCTTTCAAGAAGTCCAGCAGCAGTCATGATTCTCATTCTGTAGAGCAGATAAATTCTGCATCTCAGTCGAATTGGAAGAACAAAGATTATGCATTTCAGCCAGAATCTACAAGTATTAATGTGAGTGTATGCACTTCACTCATTTATGTACATTCTAGTATTTCAAGTCATATTAATTAGATTAATTGCATCATTTTGTCAGGGCACATTTTCATTAGTCAGTCTAGACCTCTTCCTGTAGGAACAAGTTCAGCTTTGTAGAAAACCAATAAATATCCATAACTTGATTTTTGTTTGGATAGTCAACTTAGACATTTTGGAGTACATTGGAAAGAGCAGTAATCAGACTTTAATATTGGAAGAATGATTTATGTGGTACTACTGCTATGGTTAGTTCCTGAAGATTAAAATGAATACTACAACTCTACAAGTATGACAAATTTTCTTTTTTTTTCTCCTTTTTAATATGATCAAGCTTTCTGAAGCATGTGTGTTGAATGAATGGCAGCATGTTGGAAACGAAGATGACTTATTTGCTGAGATATTGAACGATAGTATCATTCAATTGGACGAATGTCTTCACCCTTCAACATTTGGTGCTCAACCTATGTTAGCCAATAATGGAACTGTGCCTGTTGTGCCACGCATATTTAATAATCCTTCACATAACCATGTTGTTCAACGAGTAAGCCCTGCTCAAGGAACGGCAAACAGAAGAATAAGGCTACGAAAACTAAGGAGACTTGGCCCTCGTAAAGAAGAGTTGGAGGAAGGTTCAGGTGAAAATATGGTTAACTCCAAGTCCAGACGATTTTTCAAGAAGGTTCCCGAGGGATGGATGAGAATATCCAAAAATTGTTCTCGTTTATATGTACTAGTCATTACTATGGCATTGCTCATTTTGATGATGGGTTATTCCACTGGTCCTGCATACTTTTACTGACAAAATTGGGGAAATTGTAGCTAGATACGATTCAATATGCTCACTTCTATAGTTGAGGATATCACGCCTACTTATCTAATGTTTTCGCTAGGATTCATGTCGTTAGCGAAGTGTTATATTGTACTTGTATAAATTATTGTTTCACATGATAATGAAAATTATGCATGACAATGGTTGAGAAAAACTTAAGTAGGCTAACTTTATTACCATTATTATATTATATTCGTTGGTAAATAATGCCCACAATTACTACATCTTATGCCCTTGCAAGATTGTAGTGGAAGGAAGAAGTTAGGTTATATACAAAGAGGGATGCCCAGTTGATCTTTATGATTTTTTCACCTTGTAAATCTTCGCTGCCAACTCAGCGGTCGTCACTAGGAAGCGTTGAGTCAGCAATCCAAGTAAGCCGTCGTTATGACTGTATGTTGAGTCATTTGGTGATAAAGATAACGCCGCAAGTTTGATAAGTTAACTCCGCAAGATCCATTCGTAAACGCCGTTGTTGTGTTTCTTCCTCGAGAAGCTTGATATTGAATTAATTACTTGCGTTGTTGGAAGGTTTGAAAGCCATGAATGATTTGTGTGTATGTACTCATCATTTCTTGGGCAAGAAGTTTGTGTTTTATGAATTATATAAAATAAAATATGTGGTCTAGCCATATTTTGGTTACGTGTTAGAAATAGGAAGTGTAAGATCAAGACCTTGATAGTGTAGAAGAGGTGTTTAATGATTCCAAAATTACCGCTCAAAAAGTTTGGAATGAATATCAAACCCTAAGTTTGTCGGCAGGGATGTTTCAAACGGAAAGACTAGCTGCAAGAAGTTTGATAGACCGTGGGAATAACGCCGTCTTACTCCAAGTCATTGAGTACGTGGAGGGAGTTCCAGGTCAAGTTGTGTAGATTGCTGTAAATTGACAAGCATAGCCTTCAATAATGAATGGGAAAAGACAGACGTACCCCTATATTAACATTTTACAGCAATCATAAAGATAAACAGGGAATTTCCCATATACAAATGCGTACGGAGTAACTTGAGAACAAAATTGTAGTGGAGATGGACCATATTGTGCAGCCCTAATCCTTACCCCTTCGACAATCAGCCACGAAATCGGCCACAAACGGCCAGGGTATTCAGCCCCATCATCGGCCATTTGTGGCCAATTTACGTGGTCGATTTCGGGGAGGGGGTTGTGATGTGGCCACTTTTGGTGCCTAATTTTGGTGGGGAAACGACCGTTTAGGCCTTTGATGGGTTTTCTGGTAGTAATGGCTAGGAAGGAATGTGTCGGTGGTGGTAGTGTGGTGAGCAGGGCATGCGTCGATGGTGGTGGAGGTGCGGCAGCTGCTGGGTTAGTTTTAGGATTTTTTTTTTTACATTTTTTTTATTTTCTCTATTTTTTTCAACCAATTACATATTGACACGTGTGCAAAAAAAACTAATTAAAAAATGTTTACCTAATTAATTAGTTGCAAGTCATTTGGGTGCAATAGAAATTAATACTCCCTAAAGTTGGGAGTGATAGATAATAATCCAAAGTACAACTACAAATTATTTTTGGCGGACGAGGTAAAGTTCAGATTAATGGGAGTAATTTTTCCTAATTTAATTGTTAAGAGGTGGTGAAATCTTATGTTTGTTTGCCTATATGCCCCTATTTAATATGAGGTTGAATGTCTCTAACTTTTTTATTAAGTGAATTAATGATTAAATTTTATAAACGGTGTTTGGACAAATGGAAAATTATGCCCTTTAAATATTTATTTACTTTTTTGCCCTTATTTATGTTACTCACTTCATCCCTTTATTAGATGTCTATTTTTAGCATTTATTACTCACATATTAAAGAGAAGTAGACATCTAATTAAGGGGAGGAGGGAATAATTGTTTTATATATATGAGGAGACATCTAACGAAGGGCAGTAGTTTCAGCAATAAGAGGCGCACTTGTGCCAATATTAAAAGACCAACTACAAATATGATTACCCAAGTGGTATCTGATAACTACACCTGCGGCACCTAAGGTACCACGTACAGACCCGTCCAAATTTATTTTAACACCACCATGATGAGGAGGAGACCAAGAAATCTGAGTGGTCCGATAATTAGCATAAGAAGTAGAAGGAACTAACTGATTATCCTTATAATCCAATCGCAACTTCCATTCATGAAAAAATTTTGGGCGCGGGATAAAATAGCCATAGAAGAAAAATTCGTGCTTTTAAAGACAATTGAGTTTCTAGTTTTCCAAATACTCCACATAGAAGTAATAATCTTAATCACAAAAAAAGAAAAATCCCCACGTAAATTCTGAAAAGTTGATAAAATTATTTTGAAGAGGAACATGACCTAGCCAATTAGTAGTAGGGTTAGCAGTCCAAAAACGTTTCATAAACAAACATGAGAGGAATAAATGATCCTGTGTTTCAACATGCAAATTACATAAAAGACATGTACTGGGAATGTCCAATTGACGATGAGCAAGATTTGCTCTAGTAGGAAGAGCGTTATGAAGAAGTTGTCAAATAAAAATATTCAATTTTGGAGAGATATCTAATTTCCATATCCAAGCAAATTCCCACTTAGTGTGGGAAGATATGTTATGGGCTAACCAAGTAGCAGATATTACAGTAAAATCACCATTGTTAGACAAACCCCAGCAAGGTTCATCTTGGATAGACGAGGAAGGAAGAGGGATACCTTGAATAATTTGGACTAAATTAATATAGGAACAAGAAGAGACAGGGTCGTAACATCCCACTCATTAGAGTCCGCAATAAAATGATCCACAGTGAGATCAAGATTATGGATATCTTAAATTTCTAAATTTAACATAGAAATAATATTTTCAGAAGAGCACCAATTATCCAACCAGAAAAGAAAACTAGCGCCATTACCAATTTTCCAACGAAGTCCTTTGAGAAGAAGAGTGCGGATTTGGAGAATCTTTCTCCAAATCCAAGAGTCCTTCAATTGAGGCTTATACTCAAAAAAGGTTTGTTTAGTTATGTTGCCAGTAAATGAAAAGGCTCCCCGGATATTAACCTCATCGTGCGTATTAGCCACGTTGTATAGTCAATAACATAAAGGCGTTGTTTGGTTCGATGTAAAAAGTAGAAATTTCCATGAAATCTCAATTCTTAAGAATTTCCAAAAATATATTTGGTTGGATGTAGGAATTTCTACTTCCTTTCTTATGGGAAGTTGCACTTACCTAGCGGGGACTAGGTAAATTAATTCCTCCATTTTGTGGGAGGTAGAGCTTCTTAGTGGGAGAGAGAAATTATAAAATAATTGTGAGTCAAGTATATTTGTGTTGCAACTAATATAAATCGGCCGAAAATGAAAAGTATTATAACTAATGCGAAACGGAGGGATACAACCAAGTAAGTTGCATTCATTCCTTTCTCTAAGAAATCAAACTTCCCATTTATTTGTTTGTCAACCAAATCAGGCCAAAGTAGTGTGATGTATGCCTGTATTGCCCGTATGTAGGGGTGTAAATGAGCTGATCCGAGCCGAGTACTACCTTGTTCATGTTCAAGTTCAATTAACTTAGGCGAATCCGAGCACGATCCCGAGCTTTCAAGCGAGCTCAAAAATTTGTTCAAACTCGACTCATTTAGTACACTATATGTTCGTGAACGGTTCGTGAATGACTCGTTTATTAAACGAGTTTATAAACAAGTGTTTCATATGCATGATTTTAGTAATAAACGAGCTTTGTACTTTAACATGTCAAAATATCAAAAAATAGCATAATAATTAAATCCTAATTATAAACCTAAGAATTAAATCTTAATTATTAAAAACTTAAGAATTAAATTAACAATTGTGAATAAATCTGTAATTCATGAATATAAATAAACGAGTAATTCGCACACATAAATATACGAGCTGTTCATGAGCTTATCTAAAAGAGTATATCTATGTTTGTGTTCAATCAAGCTCATTTATTAAACGAGCTTCAAAATTGGATTTATCAATTAAACGAACATAAACGAGCTTCAATCGAGCTTGAACCCGAGTAGTTTATTGATCGGCTTGGTTCATTTAGCCCCTACCCGTATAGTGTATAGTGTATACAAATGGAGAAATAAACACAAGCAGAGCAAAATTGGCCTTATCAGAACTCCGAAAGTAAAATAGAATTAGCCCCAAAAATAATACACATCTTCATCAGGAAAGAAAGAAAAGAAGGATCGATCGATCAGCAGCTCCAATTTGAGTGAATCAAAATTGATATTGAATTGGACGATTAGATGCTAGGCATTTCCATCTCCAATTCGTATTTATTCCTGCCTCTTCTCTTCTCTTGGTAAATTCATTTCTGTGTTGGAGTTTTTAGGGTTCTGTAATAATATTAGGATTAGGGTTTTTGAATTAATTTAGGGTTGTGCTGTTTGAAATAGGTGTTGAAAATTAAAGGATGTCGAGGCCAATGTTGCTGGTATTTTTGTTGCTGATACTTATAATTACTTCTCAGTTCGAGTGGAGGCAACAGCTTGTTAGCGATGTTGAGTCCAATCATACTTTATCTCTGAAACAGCACCGCATTTCCAAGCGAGAAGAAGCTGTAAAAGAGAAGGTGCTGCTTTCTTTCCTTTATTATCTGCTCCCATCTTTATTTCTGTGTTTATTACACCTTCAACTTCATTCTTCCATTACTTTGTTTTCTTTTAAATGTCCTGTCAATTAGCTAATTATTGAATTGCAACTTCTTCCTAACAATGTTGACCAATTAAATACTTAAAAAGAAAACCCATTATGGAATGAACTGCAATTGTACAAGCTTAACGAAATTTGCTATCGAATCAATTCAACTACCAAATCGTGCCGTGACTTAAGAATTACAACACGGGGATTGTTATATTGAAAAATGATAACTACAGAGGCATGTTATCAAAGGAATTGTGAGGTAGGTGACTGTGTAGGCAGGATTGTTGTGATTGAACTGCTGCAGGGAGGAGGGGCTGCAAGTATAATGGATTAAGAGGGGTGGGATTATTGGGTTAATATTGGGTGTCAGTGGTGGTTGCTACGGGTGTGGTGGTGGTTGGTTGGGTTATAACTTAAAAGGTGATGGGGACCTAATGGGAGGTGTTGGGTTGAGTGTTTTGGCGGTGATAATGGCCAAATAGAGGATACATAAGGGGTTTGGTCTTTTTTTAGACCCCGTTTGGTTTGAAGTAAA